AACAAGCTTATATGCCGTAATATATGCCTAATAGATGTATGTACGTAAGAAACACTCGAGATGTCACACTAACCTGCGATTCGGCTCACTTGTGGTTCAGTGGGGAGGCGCGTTCGGACAGCGGGATCTCCGTTGCAACGTACGCATCAGTTGGGAAGCGCTAAACACTATTCTTACACTGCTTTCGAAAAAAAGTTTGGGTTAATTTGAAATTTCGTGATTACTCGGAGAACCACCGTGGACCAGATGATGGACCGGACCAGCGGCGCCCAGTAGGGAGGGAACTGTGCCAGGCTTAAGACCGCCCCAGCTCTGCGCGACTCTCCCTAAGCGTTTGGATCGTTTGTCGCTCGAAATTGCAGTCAATATCCAATGTGATTACGACAATTTTATATTTCTTCACATCCCGTTAGCTTGGAAGTCTTAATTCTGGTTTTGAGAATGGCCGTCCTGAAGTTCCTGTCGGTGGCGGCCGCCGCAATTTTGGTCTCAGAGATCAACTGGGCATATGGTGGCGATGACAATCTTGAGCAAAATGATCCAAATCTAGACAAAGAAGAAGATTCTGGTCATCAAGAAGATGGATCTGGCCCAGGAACGGAAGATATTGGAGCTGCTACTGCCACTAATAAGGCCGGTATGCCCCCAGTAAATTCACATAATTTTGCTTCTAACAAAGGCAACCAACAGGTTTAAACCATTTTCTGGCTGCTGATTTGCTGCAGTGAGAGCAGAATGCTGGGAACAAATGAACGCGGCCCGCAACCATGTCGGCTTCGCTGAACTCACGCAAAAAAATATATTCAAAATTACTGAAAATGACTGGACCCGCTCTGTCAACACGCTCGAGAATTACCTGAGCACAGTCTGCAAAGGCATCAAAACTGTGAGGTTTGGTTTTGGAGCTATCTTCCTCGTGTCTTGTAGGATTGGATAGCTCAAGCGGTACAGGCGGTACCAGTCTGATGTACACACCTAGACACACGCACATACGCACACATCACATTCAAGCAGCGAAGATACCGCACCATGGATCTCTCGCTCCTTTTCTGCTGTACACTGCGTATTGCGAACAGGACAAAGTGCCTGACGAGTTGACCACAGTCGAGGGCACCGTCGCCTACGCTGTTCAAGAGGGCGAACAGGCTGATTGCCAGGCTGCAGTCGACTACTGGAAGGAAGCCCTCACAAACTTCAACGGGGAGGTGCCACCGGCATATGCAGCAAACGCTTCACCTTACGACAATACCCAAAATGTCTCCTTCATTTCCCTCTTCAATCCCCAAGCAAATCCGACGGTTGACTGCGCATACTTCGTCTGCCCTGCAGCAACTGAAAAGGCCAAGGAGGGGGAGGGAAATACTGATACCGATAAGAGCATGAATGCGTTGATTTGCGTTACTTCGCCCAGCGCCTTGACA